TGATAATGATTATTTTGATTATGAAGTTTAGGTTTATTATTTGAAATTGAATTCATGACACAGGACTGAGAAGTTCCGTAATTATCCTAATTTGAATCAAGAAGGTGGTGTACTATCTAGTGGTGCTTTGCATTAGGTTGTGACTCAAGAACCCCAGGTCCATGAAGGTCGTTTGGTTGTTGGTTTCGATCTTAAGGCTGAGGAATATGAATTTTTATATGACTATTCAGGGCTTGGAGGGGTGCTTATCAATATTTTGCTACTATTTCGTAGTTGGGTTCATTTATGGGTGATGAAAGATTCTGGTTGGGCTTTTCCCGAACATGAGGCAAATCGTGGGGAAAAACTACTTGGACACGACACAGAAGGGCTTCTTTTGTATGACCCATAACGGAAGACGGTCAAGAAAGTTATGATTCGTAGCAGACACGAATTGTGGCAAGTGAAGATGTGGGTAGGAAGCCTTGTTCCTCTCAATGTTGATGGTGAAAGTGATGGAAAGAGACAACAAGAGCAGAAGGAGAGGAACAGGTAAGCTAACGTCAATCCAATTTACTCTTTTAATTCTATATGTTCTGTTGTATTTATATTGCTTTACCTTGTCCACTACTGTAATAATTTTGATACTATTATTGTTGTGATGATAAATATAATTTTGACAATCTTATTCATGAAGTATGTCATTTGCAAATCATATATATGACTTGCACTTTTTTTTCTTCTTCTAATATTTAATATGGATTTCAGCTGCTTAACTAGTTTAGAGTTCTTACCCATTGATTAAAGTAGGGATTGAAATACATTCTCTAATATTTTGAATAATTTTTTCTGAAAACCAAAGAATTCGACAATCTCATTAATGGATACCATACTACCCAGTCATATGTTTTAGCCATATACGCCTTAATCGCCATAAGAACATCTTTTACTTTTTTATTCTTTAGGGTGTGCATGACCTCCTGAGCCAGAATGGTCCCATTACCTATATGTCTATTCAGAACAAAAGAAGTTATGCCGGAGCTAATAAGGAATTAATCAAGAATAAACATGAATTGATCTGCTAAGATCTTACACACCGACATCATATTTAATTTTCTCAGTTTTATAGATTCGACGCAACCTCTATTTGACACTGTTTGAAATAACAGGTTAAATGAGTTATATGCTATGTCCTTCGAAAGATAGGATGTGAGGTACTAAAGAGTTGGGTTTCAATAATGAATGAATTCATCACCAATCTTATATGTATTTGGAATCTATAATCCATCTTCTTTCTTCATAAATTAATTTCATTACCTCGTCGGGGAATAATAGTGGTGGTATGCCAAAAAAAAAATAAAATAAAATAAAAAATAAAAAATTAGTGTTAGTATTTCCTTTCTTTAGCTATATATTTCTAGCCCTCTACTTCTACAAAATCTATAGCTTTGCTAGTTGTTTCTGCAACTCTTTTCTAAGATAAAGTTCCTTCCAATAGTTCTCCTTAGTAACCTCATCTTGTTGAATTTAGTCAGTACTATCTCTGACACAACAATCTTTGAACCACAATATCGAAGTGGTCCTTATTCCAATTTTGTAAGGGATTCCTTCTAACTAATGAAAATTGAAATCTTCAGTTTGGTCTAGAAAACCCACCCTAGACCTTATCCAAACTGCATTTATTCACCATTACTTCTAACACAGCATGAAGTTGAGAACCCCTAAATTCTTGACTTGCATACCTCTTGCAAAATCCAATGGTTCTTTGGATCTTTGGTCCATGTTACTTCAAAATTAATATATCGTTTTATGTGAATGGTAAATCAAGAAATTCGGTTTGGTTTTATTTTAAGTTCCAATACTTATTTTTTTGGATTTTGGATTTTTTTCAACACTAGTTTATTATGTTATGTATATTGTTGTCCTAATTTTGTAGGAATTGGCTAAAACGGGGAGGAATAGTCGATCAAAGTTACCATATAATTATACAATGGGCTCTAAGTCATTTCAAGCCACAATCTATAAAGAGGTGATGCATTTAATATATTTAAAAGTGTGATTAAGTTAAAATTAATTATGTATGCTTACTTTAAATTGATAGAATTAGGGTACTGCCAAGGTTGACAAAAGATTGGAAGAGATTGAGAAGTTTATGAGGATGCACAAAGATCAGGCAGACACGCAAGTTGACGAAGAGGATTGCTCATCAGAGGAATTTTATTGACAACTTGCTCTGTAAGTATACTTTTCAGAATTAATTTTCAGATCACTAAAAACATTTCACTTAATAAATTTGTTGAAACAAGTTGCTGCTATGATACTCTTCAGTTGGCTGGTTTGCTCTGTTTGTTGATGTATTGTTTTTCTTGATTGTTATTGGTTGATCCCTTTTTCTTGATAGTTGCTGATTGATTACATTTTCAGAAATTGAAATTTGTGAGTTAGATGGATCCAACTATTATTCACCTATTGTTACACACTACACTAGTATTGGCACTTAATTGGCCATGATTTTCATTTGTTTATAAAAACAAATAATAAAAAAGCCCCGTTTCTAATACAGATTTGCATCTAAGTTGTATTGCTCAAGTTCGGGATAAGGAATTAGTTATTGCTTTTGTAGTAAATGGAATGCCATTTGAACTTGAAGTCAATTTAGATGCTTACTTGGATATAATGAGTTGTGTATAGATCTTCAATTTCATCTTCTATTCCATGGTACTCTTTTTGTCTATAACAAGCTTTGCTCTAGTCTTTAGGATATCAGTACATGATACTAGATTGCATATAAAATAGTATTTTCATGTATGTGGGTTGATACTAGCCCCAATTGGCACGTATCATCATTTGTGGGTACAATGCTATCAAACTATTCATAATGATTCTAGTTTTTATTTGAGCATTTTTTTGACATTAATGTAAGTGAAAACAACCTCAAGTTTAGGATTTAGGTTCTTATGATTTCAATTTAGTCATGAAAGTAAGGGTAGCACTTTGGATGAAATCTCATTCCATTGGTAGCTCCTACTCAGTTGATATTTGCTCTTGTTTTGGAACCTTGAAATTGGATTTGATCAGTATTCTATTACGACAGAATTTGAGCTAGACTTTGGGTGGACAATATGAGACTGATTTACATGTAGAAATATTGCTTGTAATTAGTTCATATATGCCAAGTTTTAACTAGTGAATCACGTGTTAATTTTTGATTTTGGTATATTGAAATCTTGTAATTCATTGTAGGAAAATTTGTTCCTAATTTGTTCATCTATAATGTGAAACCAATGTTTTGAGACCAAGAACTTTATTATTAACATTTTAATATTGTAATTTTTTCATATGTTCGACAGATTGGCAATGGATGAAACATAGTTTGGGGAGCATGAAATGATTACATTTTGAATTTTTGGATATATTGTCATAGGTTTTTGTTGTGAATTTGCAAGCTTCGAAGTTTTTTTGGAATTACATTTTTGAAGTTTGGGATTGTAAGGATTTGTACTTATGTTGAATGTTTGGGATTTGATATTTTGCTTATGTTTAATATGCTACTACTTTTGACTTAAGTTTATATTTTGGATGCTTTGCACAAGTGTGTTAATTTGAATAATATTTTGCTTATGTTTATAGGTTTATGAATTATGTACTGAACATGGAAATTGTAAAAAAAAATGAATTTTTGGTGACAGGTTTTTTAGTTGTAAATTTACTTTTGGTGACACTTTGTCTCTGTTGTTGAAAGTCTGTGTAAAGAATTTTTTGTTTCTGTTACTGAAAGATATTTTTAGCGACGCATTTATGTGTCGCTAAAAACTAACATGTCATCCGCTTAAGGTTACTTTTAATGACTAAATGTTAATTTATGGCGACAAAATTTAGTCTTTTGGCGACTGAAATATTTGGTTGCCGATTTATTTATAAGGCGACCATAATTTATTTGGTCGTCAAACCATTTAGTGACAGGGCTTCAGCAACCGATTTTGTTAATGTCGCGGACACTTTCAGCAACCAAAATTACACTTTTGGTGACTAAAAAAAGGTCGCTAAAAGTGCCTTTTTTTTTTTTTTTTATATATAGTGACCGTGTTGGACACTGGCTCTCATCCAAACTTTTTGTTTTTTTAAGACCTAAATATGTTTTGAACACTAGGGAGACACACGTGTCCATAGTTTAGACACACACATGAAGGCAATTATAAATTTAAACAAAATAATTTAAAATACAATGATAAAACAAAAACAATGTACATTTATAAGAATTAGTGTTATGTTTTATTTTTTATTATCCTTGAATGATATATTGACATATATCATAAATAACAAATATATAGACTATATAAGAAATGTGTTCTTTACATGTCGTCGGTATAATTTGATGTTTTGAATATATATATATATATATATATATATTTTAATTGTCATGCTGTGTGACCGTTCTTCTTAACCACCACAAATGAAAAACTTCGCCTTAAGAGCAGACACCAAGAAAAATCTGGTAAGTCATAGCATTGGTTTCCAACTCTGCTGTGCTAAGTGATGTTGTCACTTCAAATATTGAAGGCATTTACTCACTATTTAATGGAAGGCAAAATCAAATTTCTTAAACATTTCATATAATTAATTTGAATTTTTTTTTCAAACTATGATTCATATTCAATTTTCTCAGACCATGGTCGGTTGTCAATTCCCACAGCTACCAGTATTGCAATTTATCTTAATGATGTTCAGATAAAGAACAAACTGAAAAATAAAACCACACAATAACAGAAAAAAAAACCATAGACCTCCACATGAGAAGGCAACGCCTATCTTTACAGGATTCCAAGTGCCAGTAACTTAGTAATGATACCAAACAACATGATAATGTCTTGATTTTAAATCAAATCATGTCAACAAAGTTTTTCAGTTTATTTTTTGTTAATAGCATTTCTATTCAATTGAAGAGCATTTAGAACCATTCCATCCAACCACATGGCAAGAAATCAAAAAAAGGCATAATTGTTCCAACATCTAAGACATTCTCAAAGAGGAGATAAACTTTCAACGAATTGAAAAGTATTAGGAAAACCATCAGGGCGCCCAAATAATGGACGAAAGTCACCTTGGGGAATCATCTGACGAAGCACCTTCCTTGTCTTGTACTTGACATTATAATAAACAATCTCTCCAGCAGTGGCCATCACCAGTGCAAAATCATCCTCCTCCTTCACAACACATATAACATGAAATATATAGCTATCTCTTCTGAAAGCTATATCATCAGACAATAAAGGAGATGTCCGTCTAAGATTAACGCGGCACTTCACAACCCAATCAAAGGTGTCCCTTTCCATCTCAAGGATTTTGAATTGCATAGCAAAGCGTGAAGGCGAGTGAATAAGAATCAAATGACCACCACATTCTCCATAATAACTAATATCGTCTATAGAAACAATTTTAGGCTCTGGAGAAATAGGGGTTTTTAACAGCTTCTCTTCATCAACATCAAATCTAAAGTGAAATTCACGATCACCTTCTTTCAACCAATGAATTGCTCCATTCCAAAACACCCTTTTAACACGTACACCCAGTGGTTCACCGACGGTAACCAGTTTCCAAGACGCAGTCTCCGAAGAGTAGATTTCAAATTCATCATAAAGGTGATACAAAACAACTTTGTAGTGAGGTGATTTTGAAGGATCAAAAGCCAAGAAACTAGCAAGAAATTCACATTTAGGCGGTTGAGGAAGAAGAGTGTATTTCTGGGTAGTTGGATTACAAACAATCAACCTTAGTTTATAACTATTAGGATTGCCAACAGTGCGACGGTTGTTGCACAAGAGTAGGCCATTGCAAGAGCTTTGAATCATAATTGGAAACCCTTCTCTAATACTGTTGAGGAAGGAGAGTGAGGGAGGATTTTGGTGGGAGTGAAGCGAGACAGAGTTAACTGGTTCATAATAGCCGTAGTCCAAGTATAAGCCAGAGATCGAGAGATTGCGATTTCGACGAGAGTGGTTGGAGGCAAACTGAGAATCGGAGATGAGGTGGAGCCAATACTTGGAGACGGACTTGAAAGTGAGTAGGGATTTAGGAGGAACGCGTAAAAGGATATCTGAAAGGAGATCAACATTGCTAGCAGTGACTTCTTCTGACGCCGGTGGTGAGGTTTCCGATGATGTAGAGCCGCTGATCGCCTTTGTTCTCTTCGCCATTTTTGGCTCTGCGAAGAGATATGAATAACAGGAAATTATATAAATTATTCAATAAGATTCTTGTTGTGCTCAAAAAATAAAGTTTTAAAAAATATGGTAGTTATTTTTATGAATAATGCTTGGGACCCCCTTTTGGGGTCACCCCCTCACCCCTTTGCCACGTGGCAGTGGGTGATTGGAGGAGCAGGAAAAAAAAGAAAAAGAAAAAGAAAAGGTAACCAATGAGAGAGAGAGGGGGTCAAAGGGGGTGGGGGAAAAATGGGGGATGAATCATTACTCTATTTTTAGAGAAAATTATCTATCTATATTATATACTATATATATTATATTATATTATATATATCTATCTATACGATGGCCTAGTTTGGGAAGACTAAATAAGTGCACTTTTTGACTTTTTTTGTATTATGTGTAGAAAAAGTAGAGAGGAGATGTTGATTGATGTGACCCAAAAAAGATAAAAAGATGAAATAAGTGCACTTTTTTGGCAGTAGCCAAACTAGGCCTATATATAAAGTGAACAAGTCAGTTAGGCCAAGTTTGGGAAGACTAAATAAGTGCACTTTTTGACTTTTCTTGTATTATGTGTAGAAAAAGTAGAGAGGAAATGTTGATTGATGTGACAAAAAAAAAATAAAAAGATGAAATAAATGTACTTTTTTAGTTTAGCCAAACTTGGCCTCAGTGTCCAAGCCTTCTTCTTATGCCAAGTGTCCCTTATTTCTTTAAGAGAATTTAAAAAATTAAATATTAAAGCGGTGAGAGGGACTTAAACCTTAATTCAAAATCAAAATTTATATATTTTACAGATTTAACAATATACCTATCGGATGGGCACATACCTACTAGTATATATATATATATATATATATATGTAAGCACTTAAATTAGTTTCTTGAAGTTTTGTCAATTCTCATGCTAAGTGTTCAATATTCTCACTATAACATGCTACTTTCTTTTCTTTTCTTTGTTAAGAGGTTATTACCCAATTCATAGATATTTTTAAATGCCTTAAATTTATTTACTGTCAACAAGTTATACATGATGAGCAGAAAGTACTCTAGCAGATCCTAAATATAATCATGATTAAGTTGAAGTATAGTAAAATTGTGCAAAATTAAAAAGCCAAAGTAATTTTTTTAGATTTAGGATGACACTGTTTCCAAATATTTTTTTAAGTAGTTTAATTATGCATGTGTTGAATATAGCATGTATTCGTTGTGATATATTCAGTTATATATATTGTAAGAATTTATATCAAAATGTTTGGTGTAACATATATTTAATAAAGTGGAATTATTTTAAATAAATTCAAAAAATATTTTTACCTTTTACTTTCTGATATATATATTTTATAATTTTACACAGTTAAACGTTCCACAAATCATTATGTATTGCAATGATTGTACAAAATTAGATTTATATAAATTTAAGTTTAAATTTCAAACTCTCTAAAAGTATCAGTTTCGATATGATAATTATTATTATAAATTTTTCTTAAAATATACTCCCATAATTGTGATGTAACATTATTTGAAATTTATTTTTTGTATTATTTGTAAATAATTCTTAAGTGGAAAAGGAAACATTACACCTAAATCTTTCCATATTAATCCACTTAGAATTTAAAATACAATTTTGAAAACGTTTCTATATCAATCTTAGGAAATAATATAATTAAAGAAAATTTATAAAGTTATTATTAATTGATTTCCATATTAGTCTTTGGAAACAATTTAATTAAAGAAAATTTGTAAAGTCTTTACTAATGTATTAATTGACTTTTGTAGGTGTAGGATTTCCTTTTCCAAATTAAGAATTATTTGCAAATAATACAAAAAGAATTATTTTCAAATAATAATGCATTGCAAATATGATAACATAATTTAAGAACGATGATATGAAAAGGCTAATATGGAAAGATTTTCAAAATTGTATTTTGAATTACGCACACTAGCTACAAACTCGTGCTATGAATGGAATGATTTTTTTTAGAAAATAAAATATTATAAAATAAAAATAATTCATCGTATTTATTTGAACTCTATAAAGCAATTTATATTAAAACAAAATAATTCAATAATTTTAAGCTAACTATTAACATTTAATTATTAAAAGAATGTCAAATTTTGTTAAGAACTTTATATTTGGTTACGTGAATTATTTACTAAGTATATTTGGTAAATGGGCAACAACCAAGTTAGGATCAGATTAAGCTGAACTGCATAGAAAGATTATATGTCAACTCAACCTCAATACAACATCATGATTAATATAACCATCCTAAAACTTGACCCTAATTTTTTTTTAAATTTCAAGCTTGCTCAATTAATCCATTATACATGCTATTATTATTATCGTGTTTTTTGGGAGGTGTCTTGTAGTGCTTTTAAATAATTGGGCAAATTACATTTTATCCCTTCAACTATGGAGATGAACAATGTAAATGATTGTTACTTTAAAGACATTGATAAGTCCAAAAAAAATAAAGAGCAAAATTTATAGGTAAATAAATCGTCACAATAGAACGGAGATTCTATGTACACTAAAAAAATCATTAAGTACTCTTAATTTCTAAGTACACCTTGTTTAATTATTCAAAATTTTATTTTATTCTCATTACACTCTATTATTTTTTCCAAATTGCCCTTGTGGTAAATCTAAATAATAAATAATAAAAAACTAAAAAAACTAAATTATTTCAAAAAAATTTCAATACAGAAAATAATTATCAAATACAGAAGAAAAAAAAAAACCTAAACTTATAAGCACATAAGCACTATAAATACAGAAAAAAACCAAACTTTTATATAAGTATCATAAAACTTTTCAATACAGGAAAAAAAAAACTTTTTACATTATATAAATTATCCACAAGAATATTCGTGGAAAAGTAAAAACCATACTTATTAGCACATAAGCATCAGGCATTATTAACAAGAAATAGTAGTTCTCAAATAATGCACTATTTAAATGATAAAATAAGAATAATTCCAATAATATGTTATTGTTAATCTAACTATTGGACCCTTTAATTTTTGTCAAAAAAACAATATAGAAAATAATTGATGGTGCTCTACAAAAATTATGAAACCCGTTTTATATGAATACTTACCTCATTTTTGATATGTTACTTCAAAAAACTATTTTGATTATTACTCTCATCTATTATTCGATTTTGTTCAAACTTTCTTCTAGGGTTTGGGGTTTCAAAATAATAAAAAAACAATATGTTGATGATGATGGTGAGTTTTGGTAGAATGGATTGAAGTTTGGGAGGGAAGAAGAAAAAGAAGAAGAAGAAGAATTAACTTTGATCTCTTGGGAAAGAAGATACAGAAATTTGAATATAAATAACTGATTAGGGTGTACTATGAGAGGGAAAAAAAATTTATTTTAGGATTTAATATGTGTTATCCTTATTAGTAAATTTAAATTAAAATGTAATAAAATTTTAAATTTATAAATTTAAATTGAACATACTAAGACATATTTTAAATTCAAATAAAATCTCCTCAATATAACTGGTGGTAAATCTTACGAAATGTTTTTTTTGTCTTCCATCAATAAAATAGACTGTCCAGTGGCCGAAAAATGTTTTACCTTCCATGACATTAAGATGGGCCCACCTAATGGTCCAAAAATACATTACTTGTTATGCATAAACAAAAGCTCACTTGGCCTACCAAGTGAGATTGTTATACTATATATTTTTCAGAAATTTCAATTTAGTTACGTGGCCAACTTATAGTAAGGATTTAACAATTACATAAAATAAAATAAAATAAAAATATAATAGAAGAATGATAATGCATTATTTGCGGCCACGTGATATTTCTGACTCATGTGACACAATGCACTACTTGATGCGGACACAGCCAGGTGGCTTATAGCGTGCTTAAAATTCAAAATTTCTACAAGCTCAAATTAAACCCTTTCAAGAACATTTAAAATAACTCACCCAAAAAAAGAACATTTAAAATAACTGTGATAAAGCCTAAAATTTTTAGAAAATATCAAATTAGTCGTATTTTTTAAAAAATAATTACAAAAAAATAAAAAAATTTATAAACATTAATAATTAAAATCTTAAAATTTTTGATGAGTATGTAGTTATTTTTTGAAAGTTTCATTGGGTTCTGATTGCCCCCCAAATTTTTATCAAACGAGGAGGATTCTTTCTAATCTAGATTTTAGATTGGAAGGCGTTGTTTGGGTCCGTGAGACTCATCATGGGTCCCGTTTCAATGATCTGAACCGTTCATTATGTCGAGCACTCCGTATATTTCACCAACACAAAAGATTAGGTCGATCTGATAACTGTAACTTATTTAATTTATTACATTTGTCACTAAAAAAATCTATGATTTATTTTTAAAAACACAATTGTTGTTATTTTTTAAGTGAAAAATTGAACAAGTGACAATTACCGGATCGATTTAATTTTTTTGTATATATGAAATACAAAAAATGTCTGATAAAATGAACGGCTTAGATCATCAAAACGAGACCCGTGATGGACTCTACAGATCTAAACAACACCCTCCTATTCAAAATCTTAACTGGAAGGAATCCTACTCCTTTATGAAATTAATCTTATCATTGGAAATTTAGCTTTTCTTAAAGCTATGGAGAAATTTAAATTGATTTTTAAATTAAAAAAAAAAATCAAACCAAATCAAAACCTAATTTGAAATTGAAAGCTACGGTTGACTTGATTATGATCAAGTTTGTTTTAAGTACCATTTGAACTTGCCGACTTGGATCATAGACAACCCATTGTATTGGGTTCAATACAACCCATTCGGATATGTTGACACCGACATGTTGATAACCCATTCTACTGAATGCAGTCATATAATTTTATAATTTGATTTAAATTTTACTTTAATTCTTATTATTTTAATTTAAATAATTTGATCTTTACACTTCTAATTTATTTTCAATTTGGCCAATCTTTGACTTAAAAATAGGAAAATTTACATGTAAGTCCTACTAAGTGTATTTATTATCCAATAAATCATATGTTAATTAATAACATTTTTCATCATACACTAGTAAAAAACGTCACTTATTATTGATTTTTAGCGACATTTTGAAAATTCCAACACAAAAAATATCATTAATTATAAATTTAAGCGACGATTTAAAACACAAAAAAAGTTATTGATTTTTAACTTTCAGCTATAGTTTAAAAAATTCGTCACAAAAAAAGACACTAATGGTAAGTTTTAACGACAATTCATAAAGCCGTGACAAAAAAAAAGTCACTAATTGTCAATTTTTATACAAAACATCATAAAAAATTATTTTTAGCAACGATTGTCTATTAGATCATATGATAATTATGACATTTTTCATCATAAACTATTAAAAAGCGTGACTAATTGTTAATTTTCAACAACAATTTAAAAATTCTATTACAAAAGATGTAACTAATTTTAAATTTTAGCGACAGTGAAAAAAAATCGTCACAAAAAAAGTTACTAATTTTTAACTTTTAGCGACAGTTTGAAAATTTGTCACGAAAAAAGTCACTAATTGTAAATTTTAACGACAACTTATAAAAATCGTGACAAAAAAAAAAGGTTACTGATTGTTTATTTTTATGCAAAACGTCACAAACTATTATGTTTAGCGACGATTGTATTATGACTTATTTTCAATAAGACTAATGAAAATTTAATCCAACTATTAAGATTTAATGGTAATTTATCCGTAAAAGTATCATGATATCAATTATAAGGATGGCCCTATCTAAAAAATAATAATTATAAGGATGGACAAAAATTTGTAAGAATGAAACAGGTATACAATGAGAGAAACCCACCTTCTTAAATACCTTAGGTGCCGTTTAGTAACACTTACGTTTTCAGTTTTCTATTTATATTTACAAAAATTTTAAAAACTGAAATAAAAACTTGTTTGGTAAAATTTTTGATTTATAAATCAGTGGTCTCAGTTTATAAATTTGGCCAAAAAATGAAAACACAAAAAACATCCTCTTCTCCGATTGCAACAAGAGCAATAGCAATTCCCAAGAACCTGCTATTAAACTTCAAACATATTGAAGACTCATTATTACTTTGATGGTTGAACCACTTTGGGATGTCACTTCCAGGAAATATAATTCTAAATTCGTGTATATCACGCGAAATACTTCCCTGTACAACGAAGATTGGTCACAATGTATTGTGCTTAAACCACAGAGAGAGAGAGAGAGAGAGAGAGAGAGAGAGAGTACCTGAAATAGATTTGAAATGAATTCATCTGTTAGGACATTGCTTTCCTTATTTTCAACCAATTTGAAGCAATTCAAAAAATCAAATATTTCAATGTCTTTGTATAAGAATGGACTCGCTTTTTTTTCTTAATGATTTGCAATGACGTGCCACTATAACACTAATGTCTGAAGAAAGCTCTGGCAATTCTTGAAGCATTTTGCAATTGGACAAATATATCTCCTCCAGCAATTTAAGTTGGCTCATGCTTGAAGGTAAACTTTCAAAATCGTTTCCCTCTAGATCTAATACTGTCAAATAGCGGAGCCGACAAATTGAAGACGGGAGTTGTGTAATCCTTGTATAGTCTGCATTAAGTTTCTCTAAACTGACTAGATCACCAACTTCTTCAGGCAGTTTCTCAAGTTTTGAGCACCCACGGAGCATTAAACTTTTAAGAGCTTTTAACTGACCAATGTTGTTTGGAATACTTGTCAAGTTTTTACAACGTCCCAGATCCAAGCTTTTAAGATTGGTAAGATGTCCAACTGGTAATGGCAGTTCAGATATACTGGACCCGACTAATGCAAGCCTTTGTAAACATTTGGTATGTTCAAAGCTTCCCAACATGTTTAGTTTTAAACACCCACATGCATAAATAGTTTGAAGAGACTCCAATTGATTGCCACTTGGAAGACTCTCAAGATTTACGCAGCCACTCAACTCGATGCGAACAAGCCTTCTGAGAGATCCAATGGATGGATGAAGATTAACCAAATTTGTACAACCTTCAGGATATAGGCTTTCAAGATTTGGAAACTTTTCGAACTCTGGGGTCATGGTTAGAGATTCTGAGTAACTGAGATTCATGGTCCTTAAGTTGTATAGAACCTTTTGAGGAAATAATATATATATATATATATGTTGTTATGGAATTCACATACTATTTGGAGTAAACAAAATGCAAAATTATACCTCTGTTCCCATCCATAGTTGTTCAATGTTGCTATTTGTTATGTGAAGTTCAACAAGATGCATTGGTTGAAATTCTGAAGGCAAACATCTCAAAGGGTATCCACGCCAATCAAGATACCTTAAATTGTTAGGAAGATATTTGAGGTCTTTAGAACGGAGAAAACAATGAATTATGAGAATTCTTAGACTCCTCATCTTTGCAAAAGCTTTACTGCTCAACTTCAACTCTTTGGAAACCCAAAATCTTTTGGATCACGATGTCCTAGGTCAGGATACTTCATAACTATGCCTTCCAGCTTTTCTATTCCCTAATAACCACAAGTAAATAACAAGACACATAATTAAAGGATAACAAAATTATGCAGAACTTTTCTTAAATATGTTTAAAATGTTCATGCTTTTCTATAAAATCTCTTACTGTATCATTCATCAGTACATGTTTTATATCTTCATAAAGTCAAAACTTACTGCGTTGTCCAGGCTCTTTAGGTGATTCTTGGCTAACAATATTTCTCCCCATTTCTTGTATCAAATCATGCATAAACAGCCTACCGTGTGAAATAATTATCAGTGACTTTTTAACTAGAAGCTCTATTGTGATAATGGGTTGGAAGCCAAAACTTTCTAGGATTTTGTTACATCATTTATGTATTTCTGTTTTAAAAAAATGCAATATCTAGGAATATTTCCTTATCTTCCCAACCCAATGCATCATAACTTATTTTGAGTACTTCTTCAACTTTTGGAAGACGACTTTGTTCTAATCTTCTTAAAGCACTTTCCCAGTAAATTTCTTTTCGATCATGAAGAAAAGAACCCAAAACTTTGGGAGCTAAAGGAACTCCTTTACAGTACTCCACTGCACAATCTAGGAGGTTTCCATAACCTCCAATTTGCTTGTCTTTTCTAAACGCTTTTAATATAAGGAGTTTAACAGCTTCATCTTTTTTAATTCGTGAACCTTATATGTATGTGTTGTGCCACATGTCTTTAACACATGCAAATCTCTAGTTATTGTTGGGGAATTTTCAAAATGGTTTTAAAATGTGTAGTTTAATTTTTGCGTGTTTTCAAAACCTTTCTTGTTTTTCTTTGGAAAGCTTGAAATTAGCTTGGGGACTTTGTCTCACATCAGAAAGAGAGAAAAATACGGAGCACTTAATAAAACACTACATGGAATATTCCTTTGAATATGGAATTGTGAGGTGAAAGCTAGTTTGCATGCACCCACACCACAAGGATGGTACTTTGCACCATCCTCACACACACACAGGCGAGCGCAGCGTAGGCAGTGGGATGTGTGGCGTTTGATGGCGCACTTTGCACTCAGCACGGATGCATCAGGCACAAGGCGCAATGAGGGTGCTTTCCTAGTGAGGTGGTGTCCATTGGCAGTGACTCAACCAACCGATTGAACGGTTATATGTCTGATCTGGAGCGATTTGATCATAGTCGTTGATTGGAGATGTGTGCGATCGTACGAATGAGATGGCACCTGATCGTGATCAGGTGTGATTAGTCAAGGCATCTATTAGTGTGAGAATGATCTGCACCGTAGATCATTCATCCAATGGTTAGATCTGATCGGATGCAATCAAGGGACATGACCATTCGATCAGGTGCATCAAGGCCTATAAATAGGCTGCGAAATCAACCATTTCATTCCATCCAAAAAATTCAGAAGCATTCTTGCAATTCTCTCTCTTTCTCTCTCTCTCTCTCTCCCCCTCTTGATTTTGAGTTTTCGATCAAGAGTTTCTTAAGCAAATTAATGCTTTTCTTACTGGTAATCAAGTTCTGCAAATTTGATTATTAGTGTCACGGTTTTCTTGATTATATCAAGAGTATTCTGATCTACTGTCGTTAGTGCAGACACCGATAGACTTGATCTTTAGATCAGGCTTTATTGTATCCTTGAGGAAAATTTCCTATAACCCCCTGCACACCTTTCGGTGGGTGCAAATATTGTCTTTAGGAAAGCGACTAAGTAACGCGACTTGAAGCATCATATTTCTATTCTACATAGACAAGTTCATCGCGAAGTTTTGAAGACCCGAAGACCACCAATTGAATTATTCAAGATGAATTGTTCCAACAATCTAAAGATAATATTTAGATATGGCGATGTCTATTCAGAAAATGACTCAAGATTTCATGAAGGTTGACCGTTTTGATAGAGGAAATTTCCAACGTTGGCAAAAGAAGATGCACTTTTTGCTCACCACTCTCAAAGTGGTTTATGTGCTGACTACCCCCTATCTGGTGGAGCAAGAAGACGAGACTATGGAGCAAAACCGTACCAGGACCAAATGGGAAAATGACGACTACATTTGCCGAGTACACATTCTGAATGCGCTGTCAGACTTTTTGTTCGATGTGTATCAACATCTGGAAACGGAAAAACAACTATGGGACATATTACAGTCAAAGTACCTCACCGAGGATGCCACCAGTAAAAAATTTCTTGTTAGTAATTTTATGCGTTTTACTATGATTGATACAAAGCCCATTATGGGACAATTCCGTGAGATCCAACATATTCTGAGTCAAATTCGACAAAAGAATATGAACATGGATGAATCTATTGTAGTTTCATCTATAATAGAGAAACTGCCATCTTCTTGGAAGGATTTTAACAAAATTTTGGAACACAAAAAGGAAGATCTTACTTTAGAAGAATTGGCTCATCACTTTCGAGTTGATAAAGAGTCAAGGCTTCTTGAAGGTAAAGATGACCAATTGGCTCAGACTTCCAAGATCCACATGGTGGATGATGGCAAGAGGTTTAACAAAAAGAAGCGTAAGCGTGAACCCCAACCCGAGAAAGATACTAAGAAGCCAAAAGGTGCTTGCTAGCACTGTGGTAAGCCAGGGCACTTCAGAAATGAATGTCGGTCATACAAGAAGAAGCTAGAAGCATCAAATGCCAAGAACAAGTTCGTGGCTGTTATATCCGAGGTGAACATGCTCGAAGATGCCGGTGACTGGTGGACTGACTAAAGAGCAACAAGGCACGTCTGCATCGATAAGAGCCATTTCACTACTTATAAACAAGTGAGTGATGGAACAGTTCTCTACATGGGCAACTCTTCAACTGCTGCTATCAAAGGCAAAAGGACGGTGGATTTAGAGTTCACATCTGGAAAAGTCTTAAGTCTTAATAATGTTTATCATGCACCTGATGTTAGGAAAAACCTTGTATCTGGAAGCCTGCTTAATAAGCATGGTTTCAAGTTAGTATTTGAGTCGGACAAATTTGTCTTGTCTAAGGGTCGGATCTTTGTTGGGAAGGGCTATATGTATCAGGGAATGTTCAAACTTAATGTTATCAATAATACATCTGTCTCTGCTTATATTGTTGATTCTCTTTCTTTATGGCATGCTTGTTTAGGTCATGTTAATACTAGGAAAATGCATGATATGATTAATTTAGATTTAATTCCTAAGTATGACATTGATATGTTTGAAAAATACAAAATTTGTGTGCAATCTAAAATTACTCACATTTCATTTCCAAAAGTAGGTAAAACCACATCTTTGTTTGAACTTGTGCATAATGATGTATGTGACATGCATAGTATCCCCACTAGAGGTGGTAAGAAATATTTTGTAACATTCATAGATAATTTTTCTAAGTACTGTCATATCTATTTTTTGCATTCAAAAGATGAGGTGTTTGAGAAATTCAATAATTTTAAGACAGAAGTAGAAAATCAGTATAATGTCAAAATAAAGAGACTTAGGTCTGATAGAGGAGGTGAATACCATTTTTTAGAATATTGTGAAAATATTGGTATTATTCATGAGAAGTCTACACCCTACACACTACAACAAAATGGAGTAGTTGAAAGAAAGAATAGGACATTAACAGAAATGATTAATGCTATGTTTTCTTACTCCAGTTTAAGTTTTGGTTTTTGGGGTGAAGCCTTGCTCACTGCCTGTCACATACTCAATAGAATTCCTCTCAAGGGAAGAAATGTTACTCCTTATGAACTTTGGAAAAATAAGAAACCTAATCTAGGTTACTTGAAAACATGGGATTGTAGAGCAATAGTCAGATTGCCTGAACCTAAAAGGAAGAAATTAGGTGAAAAAGAAATTGAATGCATATTCCTTGGCTATGCTATACATAGCAAAGCATATAGGTTTCTGGCAGTAGAGCCCAATGGTTCAGTGGAAACAAATACTACCATTGAATCACGTGAGGCGGTATTTTATGAGAATCGTTTCACAACCATTCCAAGTTTGGATTCTACTCAAGAAAATGAATCAACGCCTTTGATGTCTACAAAGGAAAGTGAATGGCATGAACACATTGAGCCTAGTTAAGCTAAAGAGGAGTAAGAGGGCTAGGACTGAGAAGTCATTTGGCCATGATTTCATTGTTTACCTTGTAGAAGGAACTAGGAAAGCTTATTGTAAGCAAACAAT